GGAAGGATACATGTCATTTAAAAATACTTATTTCCAGCAGCCAGAGAGTTATTATTTCTAATTGTTTCTTTTTTTTTTAGCTCCTCTTTATTTCTCCCTTTCTTCCTAGTTTCCTCAGATATAAGAGAGCTGTTCATGCCTCCCAAGTGCATTGAGTCACATTCTGAAATCACCTACAAACTTGTATTAGGTATCCAAAGTCATTAGGTGCCTCTGATGGAACTATAATGAGATGGCACTAACTGATGGATTAGACCTTCTACTCAAGATGAAGTGAATGCAGTAATCTTTGAGGTGAAATGTGCCACAAAATAACACAACGCTAATGATATTTCAAGATTAGATGTGTCTTTGTGCCCCACTGAGCAAAATATACTGATTCATTAATAACAAACTAGATTGCTACCAAATGCATGCTACCAGCACAGAGTTTATATTGCTTATTCAGTATTTATATGTTTGAGTGGATACTCTTTTGAAGAGATTTTAGGTAGTTAATGTTATTTAGGATGGAATTACTCTTTATACCTCAAAAAGCTGAAAGATTTTCCCAACTGAACAATGTTATCAGCTCTCATGCAGTTACCTTAAGGCTTCTAGGGGCACATTCTGCACTGGTGCTAACCTGGAGACCTTGGGTTTCCCGTCTCCATGACAAATCCAATTGCTGTCTCAAGAGAGAGCAAGCATAATGTATCTTTCCCATAGGGTTGTACTTGTCCTTTCTATGAAAATCCCATGACATTACATTCTGGAGGCCATAATGTTACACAGTGAATGATGGGAGTATACCAGCTATAAGGATAGCTGTAGTCATTTTCTCATACTATATTTTTTCTTTCAAGATCTTTCAGTGATAAATCTGAAACTTATATCACACATAACCTAAATGCAACTGCACTATCTCTTCAACACATTGTAACACAGAAGTTCTGCTTATTCCTATGGATATTTCTCATTAAGTCTGTCCTTTTAAGAGATAAATGTTGTTTTGCCACACCTTACCTGACACCTGAATGCACATTTTGACCTAAGTGCTACAGGCTTCACGCTGACAAAGTTCTCTCCTTGCAGAGTTTTTCCAAAGAGCTTTTGGGTCAAGTTTTATGCTTGTGACTCATGAATAAAAGCTCTCAGTGCTTCCTGTAACATTTCACTCAAGGTTAATCATTATATAGTATGGAGACAGCTGAGAAAAAAGACTCCCCTGCCTATACACTCTCCAGAATACTTTAAATGCTAAAATCCTTGTATTTTTCATCAAACTCCCTAATTACTTAATTAAAACTATAGTATGTGTCTAATAAGCTACTGCAGAGATTTAGTTTGCAGTAATTAAAACACAATGAAACCTTTATAACCTGATACACCTTAGAATATCCTCTTTTCCATCCCCCTCCTTAACTCAAAAATCTTCTCATCTTTTATTTTTACTCATCATATCTTAGTTTCCTTGATAGTACCTGCTGCCTCAGCATGTACTGAATTTACATAACATTGGCTCCTGTCCCCTAAACCTCAGTGCAATCCAGCACTGGTTTCAGCCTGCCAGCATCACCTGGTCAGCAGGACACTGATAGGCACTTTCAGACCTAGCTAGAGACAGATAAGAAGATGGTAAGCTTGAAGCTTACTCTCTGCTTGTCTGTTCCCAGCCTTGCAGTAGAGGTCTTCCTCAAGATCTGAGAATCTCCTGCTCTTGACAACCAATTCAGGACACCCCTGCCTGGGTTTCACACCTGTGGCAGTCATTGACCACCAGGCAAATGAAACCATTTCCAATTCCTCTGCTCCCCAATATATACTGAGGTAATTACCAATCTAAAGGAGCAAAGGGTTAATTGAAAATCATAGGCTCTTTCAGATGGTATCAAGCCTGCAATTCTCCAGAGCATCCTGAAAGAGTAATTACTCAGTGAGCACTTTTCCTTGTGCTCTCACCCCCTGAGGGTGACCTTACTCTACAAAAAATATGTCCATCTCTTGCGTGCTTTATGCATCTTCCCTATGGAGTATGCATTTTATGTAACAGGATGATTAATTCTTCATCTCCACATCAGGGAAAAAGAGTTCCTTGAAGAGGCAAAGTAAAAGGATTGGGGTGAGGCAGTTGTCCCTGAAAGAGGCTTTCATGAGGCTTTGCTTCTCTTTTTGCTTTGAGATATTGTTATTTAAATGAACTTGTTGCCAGCAAGTGAGAACAGAGCAGGTTTGTGCATGCTATTTGAATATAATTGGTTTTCAACTTGACTCCTCAGTATTTAGTGCATGCTGGGCATTACTTGGTACACTGTACTCTGTATCTGCTTTTCATACCACTTTTACCCATTTAGAAAGCTACAGTGCATCTGGTTCTGGTATTAAAAGATAGTCAGCATTACTGATGGATAGGAAATTCAGGACTGTGTAAACTATACCTGTGCCATTGAAGAGATCCTATCCTTGTGTACCCTCAGCTCACCTTCCACTTTTCCTGAACATTTAGCCAAGAGTTTCGTTCATGCATCTTCCTAATTATAGTCAGAGCTCTGTCTCAGTATGGGAACACTGTCTATAACCTTATCCCATAAAATTAAAGGAGCGATAGAATTAGGCATCTAAATTTGCATATTTATAAGTAGCCTGAATGTCAAGATCAATGTCCTTTCCTGTCTTTGAACAGCAGAAAATTTGTCGGTTCCATCTTAATGTAGGAAATGCTGATTCTGTACTCAGAAAAACAGGTGAACCAACCCAACATGTTCTTTCCCTGCATGGTCCCAAAAACTCATCCTTTCTTCTACAGTGCTGGAAATAATATCAATTGTTCATCCTGGGTCACTCCCTGCTGTAATCAGCACACTATTCTTTTTTTACCCTTCTCCAGCTAACAATACATCTTTAGTGAATTAGTATACTCTCAAACCCTAGAACAGTCCTGGTTTAAGATTACAAAAATCCTGATGAATGCTGCTGATAGAAGATCCTGCAGATAACCATTCATTTCAAAGATACCAAATATACTTGCCCTAAACAAGTTATTCTGCAGATGCTATCAAAGCTAGACTATCTCCAGTATCTTCTTAAACTTACTGGCATTTCCAAATGGTAACTCTCAATGCAGGGATGTCTGAACAATAAAAAAGACTTTTTAAAGTAATGAGGGAAGTCAATAGCAGAGCAAGAGCTTTAGTTTAAATCTCCTGATCCTCATTGCAGCCCATTAACCACCACTTCTATATAAAAAAAAAACAAAACCAAACAAAAACACCAAAACAAACAAACAAAAAACCAACAACAAACAAACAAACCCCCAAAACCCCCCAAAAAAACAGAAAGAACAATGAACAAGCAGAAGACTAAATACACGATGAGTGAATTATCAGTGTATGGTAAATTTATTGGAAATTTGTTGTGCTAAATTAACTTCCCTTATTAAACCCTTGGGCCCATTCACTTGTTCTTTAGACTAAATAAACCTTTTCTTTCTGCTTTATTTTGATGCAGTTTATTTGTTTTTTGTCATTCTGGCACAGTATTGCAAGGAGGTAGCTAGTGCATTTATAGATGCATTACAGGCAACAAATGTGACACATCTGTTCTATCTCCTTGTCCCCACATCTGGGAAATCTCTGCATTCTTCACCTGGCATGACTTACCACATGACACAGCTCAGTGCAGATAAACATACAGAAATGGAAGAAAAGTTCTTGGTTTGTCACATCTGCTCAGTGTCAGCATTTCACTCAGCCAGGACCTATTCTGGATAGACTCTCCCTGTTACACTTGGATCAGGCATCTGTGAGCAGTCCTCGTTTCAGTTATTGAAAGAGACTGCTCACTAAAACTCAGGAACACAAAAGCCACCCTGGGCAAAGTGTCCACCTTAGATGTGTGTCCATTGTGCAGAGTTAAGTGCAGGTCACATTCCATCATGTAGACCTCACTGTATATATACATTGCATTTAAAGCTTGTTTAGAACACTTCATCTTCCAGACTTTCCATTAAAAATATCATTTAAATAAATAAATACATAATTTTGAGTTCAAATATCAAAACTTTGGATGGACATGTACAGATCCTTTTGGATTTTACTTGAGAATTTTTGAAATAGATTATTTCCACCTCATGACTTCTTCCACTTTCATAAAAGAACACAAAGCAGATAAAACTGCAACTACTAAGCAAATCATACTGGTGATATTGAAATAATTTTTGAGGATATAATTATGAAAAAAACCCTGGAGATTTCAGATTTCATTAAAATTCAAAAACTCATGAGCTGTTTTAAAACATTGGTACCCTTGTGTGATAGACATTCAGTTCTGGTATGGATACTAAGCTGAAAGCTTACAGTAAGCAAAATATTAGACCAAATAAATGAAGGTGACTTTTTGTGAAAGCAATGTTTTGTAAAAAAGCTTTGTTAGGAGTTTATCATGGGAAGAATATCTGGTGCGTGGACCAGTTTGAGGAAGCTCGTGTTCATCAGTACTGTAGTCTGGCCAAAAAGCTGCCTTAAAACCTATGGGCTCAGGACACCAAATTGTGCTCATATGGCAGGCATTTCTGGAGGTACAGCAGAAGAGAGTCTCCTGACGAAAAGCATGAGCCGAGTACTAGTTTGAGACACTTTCATGGGCAGCTGTGAGCAGGGCAGGAGTACAGCAAATTGACTGGGTCCTGTTTTCAAAGAGAATTCAGGAAATGGCCAAAGAGCCCTTGGCAAACTTGTTGTTTGTTAAGGGACCCAAAACTGCAGACACAGACTTAGCTTTGACAGATCAAGTAATTTGAAGGCAAGAATCCACTGACAAGCCTGGAGACAAGTATGTACACAATCTTTTGCAGACATGCATTTAAGAGGTCTGGTCTGTGCTATGGTAGTGTGGATCAGACACAGATCTTTTAAGAACAAATGCAATTTTATCGCAGGAATGCTCATAAAGAAGTCAAATTTATAGGAACATTATTAGCTGAAAGGATGAGGTATAATTTATCTTATTGTTGTGAACCTTACCTTACTGTTGTGAAACTTTTCTAAGGATGTAGTGACCTGAAAGTGTTGACCAGTTTTGCTCTCCAAGCTTGCTTCTAGTGCCAGGGCAGTCTTTGTCCTCCAAGTGGGATTCTGCATTACAGAGAGAAAAATAAAGTAAATTTTCTCATCTAGGAAATTTTTATATTATGTGTTCAGTGTTATAAGCCTTCATTTTAATTTTATTGGGTGCAAAGGTACCTTTAAAACTGTCTTTCTTTCAAAGAAAACTAATGGAAGATGTAGTCCTATGAGTTTGCAGGACATCACTAATTTATCTCAAGAGGAGTCATGAAAGTTCAAACTGAGGTCCTACACATAATAAGTCTAATGGCTGCTAAATAATTCCCAGTAGACAGTCATGAGCAATATTCATGAGGCCCCATTATTAGTTTAGAAAACCCTTAGTTGAACTCTAATTGCAGTTCCAGTCATTAACTGCAGTAATTAACATTAAGGACTGTAAAAGCTTAATAAACAGCTTTTCCATTCGCACATATGATGCTTATAGCGGAATCAGGTACTTACAGAGCCATACCTGTGGATTACATTTGAAGGAAGAGCAGTTTTCAAGCAGTGCTCAACTTGTATGATCTTCTTTGATACGTGCAGAAAAAGAAATTTTAACTATGAGACTAAGGAGGCTTCTTATGACACTGGTAGCATGGTAGAATTAATCTTTGTATTTGGTCCTGTCCATGGTGCTACACTATATTTTTTTTGAGGGTATTGGAGTCTGTAATCTTCTGGGACCACTTGGTTGTTCTTAATTTCTGCAAATAATCATGATTATGACAATAATGAGAATTGAATTCATCATATTTTGAACCAAATGCAAAACAGCTAAACTAAGAAAAAACCTGAAAGAACCCCAAACTTGTTGCATAAGAAAGGCAAAATTTTCAAACAGATGTGGAAAGAACAAAAGGATGGATATGATCTTATCAGTTATCATTATATTTTAAAAAGCATGACAAAACACCAAAGAAATCACATACCCCATTAAATGGAGAGACATAATAAGTTTACTCTATTTACTTCCCGAAGCATCCAAAATTTAGAAATAGTCCACTGTGGATAATAAAGGCATCAACCAGTATTACCACCAGAAAGAGCAGGTAGTATATCGTGTTGGCTTGTTCTTACTTGAGAGAAATGCATAAATATCCATGAGAATTATGATTGCAGAACCCATAGGGTGATATTAGAAAGACAAAATTAGAAATGAAGGTGTCAGGAGGGAAATTTTGCAGTGGTGATTAACCACACTTTTTTCCTAGTGAGAAAAATTGGTTTATTTCAATGGTAGCAAAACCAAAGTCCATATGTAACAAATCTCTTTAAGGTAGTTTTAGTTTCCTCAGTAACATGTAAATCCTCCCATTTCTTTAGAGAAACAATTATGTTAATTCTAATATCCCTCTCGAATTCCAACTGCATAATTGCATTTTTTCTACTTATATCATGACACAGCTGTGACAGGAAGAAGTTTAATTCACCTGCCATCTCAGACTATCATGTATTTTTACCTTTAGATGCTTGTTATGTCTCACTGCAGAAACAGTTGCACTTCACAAATGGATTAAAAAGACTTCTAGACATTTTTTGTACATATATGTATATAAGTGACCTTTAAATTATATTGCTGTTAGATAATTTTAATTAGCTCATAACTATGAAAAAAAAAATTATCTGGTTCTTTGGAAGCTGGGATGACTTAGGAAATTGAATATTTTCCTACTTGAAAAATCTGAGTGAAATACCATGTGCAATAGGAATTTATAGGGAGATCCCAGCTAGTCATAGAAAGATGAAGTATACAGTCTTGCTTTTATTCAGTTTCTGTGGGAAAAAATATGGGAACAAAAGTATTTTTATCTAGTTTTAGTTCTAAAATTCATGTTAAATAAAAAGATATAGCACCTTTTTACTCCATTAAAGAAAACACCTTTTTTCCTTCAGACCTAGGGCATTAAATATTTTCAGATTTATCACTGCAAAATAAAGCAAGTATATCCTTCATTAAAATTGATTCACACAGTATCAGAATATAATGTCATAAAATCATCTTTTCACCTACTCTCTTGAGAATGAGCTCTGGTCTTTCCAGGCAGTGTTGTCTCTTTTCCTTGATATCCAACAGCTTCCTAGAAATCATGTCACTTAAGTGGAACACTTTTGTGCCATTCAGAAATCTTATTGACTGTAAACTAGAGATGAAATGGACATAGGAACTAGCAGTCCAGATTGATACAGCCATCACTATATACTTCAGCTAAGTATTAAATATCTATATTATTCCCACATATCGATTGCTATCTATGCAGTGAACTTATTTCCTTCTTAGGTTTCTGTGTTTGTAATAGGATTGTAAATACTGAAGCTAATAGCACAAAAACTCTATTTTCCTGCAATGTACAGAGCAAGGTGTTGGGTGGGGAAAAACTAAGTCGTGATCTGATGACAGCGTAACATCTACTTTCAGTGCATTCTTACAAAAGCCAAGATTCAAATGAAAGTGCATAAAAAGGAAGTCCCTTTCATTACTGCCTCAGGTTATGCCATGATATAATATCAGCTGAATTTTTCTTCTGATAATCCATGACAGTTTTGCCTTGGGCCAGCCTACAGAGATGATGAACCTCTTGTGTTCTGCACAGTGTGGGCATAACCAGGCACTAGCAGTTCCCTCTGTACCTAACACCCACCCTGGATCAAGGCACTGCTCTCATTTGTTTGTCTTGGCCTGGAGAAAAAAAAAGCAAGAACTTGTAATCTTATGCTCTGACTATATAAATCATTCCAGTGATTTTGGGATCACATGATTTGAAGAACTATGGGAGCCCTAACTTAGAGAGCATCTGACTTTTTGAATATCCAGAAGATCTATGGAATCAATGTGGGCTGCAACATGAATTAAAGTAATTCTTAGTCATTCATACAAATTTAGCTCAAACACTGCCTCAGGTACAAGACTTCTATGGTGGGCACAAACTTAAATCTTTTAGGTCTTGCACAGACAGAAGTTGTATAAAGGCCAGTTTAAATATAGTGCTAACCTGGACATATAACTGATGAAAATATATTTGTACTTATATTAGTAAGGAATGTGGTACAACAGAACCAAATCTGCAGAGCAAAACTTTTGATGATGAAGAGCAGCACCCACAAACACTCTGACCATGGTGTATTTTGGAGTAATTCTCTTCTAGCCCCATGGACTGAGCATCCATTAGTACTTGGAGCACATTCAGGGCTTTCCCCATGCCCATCTTTTAGTTTCATTTCACCCATAAGGAATTTAGTTCATGTGCTCAAAATCACTCTACAATTGACGAAAAATGCAGGAAAGGAGAAGCAGTCAAAAGATTTGCTTAGAAATTTGTTTCTTACACCTGAGAAAGAAAATAAATTGGTGATAATGCAGATATGACCAGCATTGATGTCTATACAGATGAAGACTACATTTGTCCATGTATTTTGGCCAAACCTTAAAAGTTAATATCTTGGCTGGCCCGGGAGAAGGTTCCTTTCCTACTGATGCCATTAAAAAGCCACACTTTCAAAGCTATCTTTGCATTTTTTCTGATTCATGAGCCTGAGAAGAAAAACCCTGCTCCTACCAAAGTCAACAGAAAATTTCCCACTGATATTCCTGCAGCAAGGATTTTGCCCAAGATTTGTGTGAACCCAAGATAACATTTTCTTCAGCAATAAAAACTAGATAAGACTAGATCATGGCATGTTTTTTTTTCCCATGTGGTAGGTAGCTGGCTGGCTGGCTGAGGCCACCCCAGGTGCCTCAGCAGGAAGATGCTGCAGACTAGCAGAGGCTGTGCTCTTGGGATTTACCTTAGACTTAATGGTAATTCACATCCCAATTCTCGCAGTCAGGGACAGCAAACAACACTGTGCTCAGAATCTCAGAGTCCCAGGACTGAATTCAATTCTACCTGGCTATTCAAGCAAATCACCCCAGTTTCTGGTCCCTTCACTGTCCACCTCCTCTCTTGGTGATTTCAGCTGTAAGGCCAACTGTGCAAGGTCACTTTCCATGCTTCTGTGGGAGAGTTTTGCACAGCAGGGAGCTCTGAATATGACTGGTGCTGACCTGAAACAAATACCAGCATCAAAATAGGTTGTTCTCTGAGAGAATTGCTGTTCCTGCCATTCCTTTGAGCTTCCTCTGAAGTTTCTCATCTTGCAAGAAATAAAGGATTAGTGTCATGGAGGAAAATAACCTGTCACCCAGGAGAATCATGTTTTGTGAGACTTATCTACTCCTTATCAGTGTTGGCACTTAACTTATGTTAACTGAGCACTGATCAATGGTAGCGGAACTTCATGGAGCTGCCAGTTGCATTGCACTATTTTACATCAAAAGTTTTCTGGAACTGTATTTACTTGATATCCTACTTTTCTTTCTTCTTCTTTTTCTTTAATAATTTTTATTCACATATGAGTCCCTGGCAGTTTCAATATGTTAAAACCAATTTAGACAAAATTAAACTGGAGAATTCTCCACTGTATAAATTTAATTCCAATTACCCTATTCCCTTGTTATCTCTTGGTTATAATATGAAATTTAGCATACTAAAGAAGATATAATTTTCTAAACAGCTGTAGAAACTGTGATAATTAAAAGAAAATGAATCTGTTTTATTTTGATGTTTCTTTAATCATATTGCAAGTATGAGAATTTTCTTATCAAGGTAAGAAGTCATCAATTCTCATCTGTCTGTCTATATATATACCACAGCATCACACTTCTCTGAGCACCTTCCCAAAATGAAAATATGGAAATAATCTTTATCTCTTTCTTCTCCCCTCAGCCTGTAGAAGAAATAGATTGCCTGATTTTAAAGTCAACAAGGACCACTAGGTTATTTAGTAGGAGATCCTTGATCAAACCTTACATCCAGGCATGCCTTTATTGAACACAAGGATGTGATTTCAACTCAGGCAATTCAAGACAGGCAGTCAGTTTTGATATGAAAGCTCCAAGAAATGAAAAATTCAGCACTCCTTTCAGAAGTCTCTTCCAGTGCATGCTGAGCACCTGCGTGCCTTCCTTCTGGTTGAATCTGTAGATTTAACTTCTAGGTGCTAGTTCTTGCAGTGCCTTTTTCTAGCACATTATTATTCTCACTAGCAGAGACTATTTTCTCTTCAGAATGGCATGCATGCCATCAAATAAAAGTTTATGTTGGTTTCTTCTGGACAAATTAATGAGATTTCAATTTCTGTGTTTTCCATTGTTAGAGAACTTTTGGATCACAGGTGAGATGCATAGAATTTCTTCAGTCCTTTTTTATATTATGAGGTCCAAAACCAGATTCAGAAGCTTTTTTTTTTTTTGCACTATTGGTACAAGCTGAAGTGGCAAAACCATTTTCCACCTCCAAATACCTGTTCTCTTTCGCATATTCAAGGCACTAGGCCTTTGTCATGGCTTTAGGCTGTGGGTCATGGGGAACTGTTTCATTGCATAATTCCTAAGGCAGTTGCAGTCTATTCACACAGTCATTTGCTCAACTTTAGCTGTGAAGAACAAATTTCTACTACTCCAATCCTTAATTTCTAATAAATATTCTATCAAGCCCCGTTCTCATGAAAGATGTCATATATTGATTATTACTATGCAGGGCACTTTAATCTCTAGAGGAAAACTACAAAGAAAACGCAGTTCAGGCAAGCCTAACTCTTAAGATACTTACAGAGATAATCATACAGTAAGCCAGTGTGACTAGATCCATCACTGGAACTGG